AAATGTGTTCTCCCTGTAGTAGTACTCTCTTAGGAGCAGTGACTAGAAGAGAATGAGCAAGAAAGAGAATAAACTGACACACTCTTGAGTTGTGAGCAAAAAAACAGCAAATGTAAACCTTCACAAACAGGCCTGAGTCCTGCCTGTAGCATCCAGGCCATCTGATGTGCGGTGTGCAGTCTACAGAGAAAAACAGTGGCAGTGTGACATCTTCAAGCATCTTTTAATGCATGTAACTGATGAGCTGCAGTAAGTAAGGTGAGAATTTTTATGCTCAGCTTACTTTTTTTTTGTAGAGCAATTTCCAGGTTTCCCAGTGGGGAGACTTCTTGTGTGACAAGCTGTCTGACGGTGTGAAACAGCTCCCAGGTTGACCAGTGTAACCTGCTGCTATCAGCACCATGTGTGCCACCTACTGTATATCCTGTCAGCTGATGCTCAGTCGCTGGAGGAAAAATTTAATTAAGATTAAACTTAACAGCACTTACAGTAGTGAAAGAAGTACTCTGATCCTTTATTTCAGTGAAAGTACTAATACCACAATGTAAATAAACTACTTCTTTAAAAGCAAGTATCCTGGATTTAGATTTCTACTTAACTGAATGTAGAGAAGTGTTATCAGTTAAAAGTGTTAAACATAAAAGCAGAAAATCACCCCATGAAATAGAACTGTAGTTGTGTCATGTGCAAAATTTGGGCACTTTACTAAGTCAGTAATTAAAGTCCCCATGACATGCTCATTGTGCTCGTTTTCAGACATTTAATGTTTAATCTTGGGTTCCTCTAGATTAGCTTGGCACACGAAACAGAGCTTTGAACAGGGGAAACACATCGACAGGGGAACAAAAAACACAGACAAATAAGCTACATTTTCGACAGTGACAGTACCTCAAATCCTACATGTTCCAACCAGAATATGAAAGTGAACAGCACAACAAACCCCAACAGCATTAATTAATATGAATTTCTCCTCCATAAACAGGTAAACAACAGTATATGTACAGATGAAATGAGATGTGTAACACTCTAAACAAAGTAGGTCATTGAGAAACCCCATATTTTAACTGGCATAATGCAGACATAGTAACTTCTCCAGCCTTAAATAATTCTCTGTTACAGAAACACATTAACAGATATGTAAGGTGTGTTTTTTTAAACTTACCATTACGTCCCACCAAGTAGTGGAAACATCACTCCCTTTCAAGTAGCTCCAAGGTTGGTAAATCCAACCGGTGGTCGCTGCGTCTTACCCCATTCGACCACATACAGTCCCAAAGTAGTGTAATTAATTCCAACAGGTAGTGTAGCACCAACAATAACACAATGGGTCATTAAACCACTCCACCATCACATACAGCAGACACACTGGCCACAAACAGTCAAAACAAGCAGGTACCGTGCTCAAGGTATCAAGCATTGATAAGCTGATCATTCATCGCCCTAGAGGGCTTCATTGGCGCTGCTTGTAGGTTAGACCTGGTCAGGTAAAACAGCGAGTCCCTGTACAGGAACATTCCCAGACATGCAGTAACCTCAGGCTCTGTATTTTTCTTTACATCGTCTGGTCACAGTGCAGGAGGAAAAATATATCCACAAAACCAGGTGCATTCTAAAAATTAAACTTTTAAAATGGCACTAGTGGATGTCAGGCAAGGTCACATGAACACGTAACAGCGTGGAGATCATGACCATTCAAGAAGAACATATGTACATCTCATTTTTTCAGCTTTTGTCACGTCTAAGATGATAATTCACCGTTGTAATATTGTAGATAAGTCAAAAAACAAGGAAAAGCACGCCATGGGCTCTTTAAGAATTTTTCAGGCTACTTAAAGTGTTGGGCTTCAAACTGTTCCTTAAATGAAACCACCAGAGGAGTGGTTAAATCTCAGCAGG